AAAATTCCTTCCCGACCCCAAATCTGGCTATCAGTAAGACCCCGAGCATGTAGGCAAGAGTCTCCAGCCTGACCCTTGTTAGCCATTATACTGTTTACCTACCATTGCTTGGTATTCCTCAGCTAATGTTTTACCATTAAACCATTCCCTCCATAAACTTGTCTAACTTAATCTTAAAACCAGACAGGTCCTTCGCCCCCACCGTTTCCCTCGGAAGGCCGTTCCAATATTTCACCCCTCTGACGGTCAGAAACCTTCGTCTAATTTCAAGCCTAAACTTCCCCATGGCCAGTTTATATCCATTTGTTCTCGTGTCCACATTAGTACTAAGCTGGAATAATTCCTCTCCCTCCCTTGTATTTATCCCTCTGAAGCAGTTCTAGAGGTGCTTACCAACATAGCCACCGGACTACATGTAACATCACATGTACAAGAGTCTCTACTGAAAACAGCAGATGTTGGTGAAGAACAAACAGATTCATGAGAGGTGCACTTGATTCTAATGCGACCCGTAGCTTCTTCAGCCCAGTCAAGAAATCTGGCATCAAAACATTTGCTGACGTGGCCCAATAGGACCTGTACCATCTTGGCAAACAAAGATTTGGATGTCCTTGCACACAGGTAAACCAGACAGCGGATCACCAGTGCAACATGGATGGAAAAATGTGGATGATGAATTACTTCTTGTATTCTTCAAGGGCCTGTTGGCATCTGAGCTTCTACAAGACCTTATTTGTGCCTGTACCAATAGGGGTTGCTACATAACTATACAAGTTTAAAGGGTAAAACAAAATCTAATAGACGATGACCTCAAAGCATCACAACAACAATACAGAGAGACATTAAACTAACAGAAGTGAATGCAAATATTGAAAGTGGTCACTAACGTGATGGTGTCAGTTTATCCCTGTTTCTATGGTAACGGCACCACTTGACAGCTCCATATCATACCTCATCCTGAAGTAGACCTCATAAGGTTCCAAATGATGTGTGATGTGCATGTGTAGAGAGGATACATTAAGTCGACCACATTGATGGTGCCTGCCATTCACATGAAGGCATTTCTGCAAAACTACAAACTGCTGACTTGGCCGCAATCACTAGACAATGCAGAGTTGGTGTCTGGAAGCTTAGAACAGGACTGAATTCAAGAGGAAGTGTAACAATTGCTTCTGACAACTGTATTTTGCTCTGTGGCCATCTATTTTTATTGTCTTATCTGGAGGAATGTGTCCATTTTAAATACTGACATCTTTTTGCTGGACTGACTGAACACGTGTTTGTCAGGCCTCTTCAATTCCTGGTCATTTCATGGCATCTAGTTTAGATTAAGCCGACTGTAGATCTATAAATCAGAGGCCAACTAGTTCCCGGCTAGTGAGAGCCAAGAGTTAGCACAGAGAGACAAGAGCATGACAGAATGGTGCAATCACTGTTAGAATGTCTATTATAATCAAGGAGTGAGGTCAGAAAGCTCTAGCTAGGACCAAGGAGAGGACAGTATCCAGAGGGACCTTCCAGCAGACTGGCCCTTGAAGCAGCCACAAGGACTAAGGAAAAATCTTTAACAAACATTCTAGCAAAACTTCACACCAACATTACAAGAGGGACCTGTAGCATGTTCAGTAAAATATTTATCTTCTCCTTATTGTAAAATCACCACCTTGGATCCCAAATTGTGAATGACTCTCACTGAACTACAACGTGACTGTTTAACGCTGAAGAGAGACATGAAATCAAGCAGCAAGGACAAGTCCTTCGTACAGAGCCAGGAAGTCTGGCTGGAGACGGCTTGTAGGCACAGCACGATAATCAGCTGAGAAAACCAGATCTACTAGAGCAAACAGACAGCAGTGCTGGTGCCAGCTGCACCCCCTTGCTTTTGGGCAGAGGAGAAAGCGTACACCCGATTGTAGTCATGGTTTCCAATAGTCCCTCCTTTCCCAAAATTAGCATGACATCATATACGGCCAACTCTGCCAGAAAACCCACAGAACAGGGGTGGTGTGACACTGCTCCTCCTCCAACGCCCACGAGCCGCGCCTGCTTACCCAGAACACATCGTAGACGAAGAGGCCCCCGAGCAGGATGCACCCTGTGCTGACGTTGTTCAAATGCAGGAGCTCCACGCCGTTGAGAGAGAACGCCAGTCCAAAGAGATTGTTTGCAATCCAGTGCTAAGGGCCAAACACAACAGGAAGATGGATCTGGTTCAGCACAGCCCGCGGCACAAACTGACTATTCCTCGCAAGCAAATTACCAAGAGACTCCCAAGTTTGATCTAGGGCTGTTCCCCCCCCTTCCTAGTTTGAATATCCCACTGCTGCTTTGTTCCCTTTCTTACCTTCCTCAGCAGGTACCAGACTCCAACGACACTGCTCATGGCCAAGCAAACAAGGTCCTTGGAATCAAACTCATAATTCACTATTTCTGTAACAAACATAACAGCATGATTCCAGCTAGCCCGCACAACTCCTCCTCCCACTCACACAGGCAGAGCAGTGACTAGTGTATATAGAGCAGGTGAGCAAAACAGGACCACCGTGGCAACTTTCCCAAACGAGTGTCGGAGTGCACAGCACGTGCAAGTGACCAATTCTACAGTAACCCCATTCAAGTTAGGTGTGCACTGGGAGCTGACCTTGGAAAATCCAGACCTTTCCTTTCAACCAGGCCACTCTTCCTCGGCAGACTGTCTTGCTGCCAGGAAGGACACTGAACTCAGGGTACATCCGAACAGGCCCGAGCAGCATGGAGTGGGGAATGAGAGGCAGAGAGTCCAAAATATTTTGATTCAATGAAGAGTTGAAAATTGACAAGCTGAGAGAGTGAGAGCACATGAAGCAGGACACAAAAAGGTAGAGTCCCAAGAGAAAGCAGGCAAAATAGACATACCTTCCTTGTTTTCCCCTGAGCCCTGGGTGAAGAGAAGCTGGTACTGTTTGCTGGGGAAGTTAGCCGGGAAGAATTTGTTCATGATGGGGCTGAAATAGAGATGGAGAGAAGGTCAATCCTGCAGAAGCACCTGTGAATTCAATGCACTTCCCTAGCACCTCCAGGATGACTGCAAATCCCATTACAAACCTCAAGTCCCAACACCTCTGCCCTATCCCCACTGTACAGATGGGGAAACTCAAGTACAAAACAATGAAGCGACTTGCTGAATGTTCCCGAGATAGTGGCACAGCCAGGGCTGTGACTGTCACCAGGCGCTAACCGGCAGAAGACAGTCTTTGTAGGGTTATAGGCAGTATTCAAACCAATTTGTAGGGGGGCCTGCAGGGGACCATTGCTGGGTATATTTTGGAAGCATGCCAATTTGGTGCAATTGGCTGCATTCCAATGCTTTTCAGAGTTGCCCATGGCCGGGCTGGCTTAGCATTGGCCAGAGAGAAAGGGGAGCTCCACTGGAGGCAGAGAAGCCTAACCCCAACTCTGCTAGTGCTCAGGAGTGATAGTTCTCATTTCCCATCCATTACACCTCCTAACGCCGCGAGGTTGGGGTTCACTCTGGATTGCTCTCTGGACGCCCCAGCCCACATGTAACTTGCTGCAGCATCCCACGAGTCTCCTGGATCAGAGACTGGCAGTGGAGAGACCCCCATTCGAAGCCTGACACCAGCAATACCTTCTCAGGCAGTAACTAATGTGTTTGGGTCAGCACATCTAGAGAGAAAAAGGCAAAACACCATAATCCAGACGCCTGGGGAAAGTTATCCCTGTCCCCAAAGCCCACAACCTCCTGGGTTTGCGGGGACCAGTGAAACCAATATCAGAAATCAGAGGGGTCCACGTAGGGTTCAAAATCCTGTAATCTAAAGGAAGGCATTTTCCCCCTCCCCACACCACCCCCCAAAGGCCCCAAACAGCTCAGGAAACAGGAAGTTGATTTCTCTCCCCCCCAATAACTTGACCTTTCTAGAAAAGCTCAGATGAGATTGCAACATCCAAGACCAGATCCTACCCTACTCTAAGGTTCAAAGGGCCCTTAAATGCTGCCTTCAGTGGGCGACCAGTTTCCCCTGGAAAGACGGAATCCTCAACTGGTGCAAAGCTGGCAGAGCCGGCCCCCTCTGGTGGATCGGGCAGGAGGGGGTGGGCTGGAGTCCACCAGACTCTAGTGAGCCTTGCTGGTGTCACGAGCTCAGACTGCTCTAACTTGCATTGGGAGGCGTGGCTAGCCCCAGGCATGGGGGATGGAGCAGAACGGTGGCCCAATTCCACCTGTTTCCTGGACTGTATCACATTTCGTCCCAGCGCCGCTGAGAATTTAGCCTGCAGTTTTCACTGAGGTTTGTGCTTTGTAAACCAATTTCCCAACCGGCTTTGCTGAGGCACAAGCTCTGGCAATAAAAGCCCACTGAGGATTTCACAACCATCTCTCACGGTTGCTGTTCAAAGCAAAACCGTCTCTGTGTCCTGTTTAAATACAAGCTACGCTGTGAGCTCCTCAGGAGAGGGACAGTGCCTTGCTGGCCATGCACACCTATGGTGCAGTAACAGCATAAAGCCAAACTTTTGCAGGCAGCATAACCCAGTGCTTTGTCCACTAGCCTGGGGCTTGGGAGAGCTGGGTTCTATGCCTGGCTCACCCACTGGTCTGCTATGTGACCTTGGGCAAGTCACTTCACCTCTCCATGCCTCAGTTTCCCTGTCTGTAAGTCAGAGATGATGCTGCTGCCCTCCTTTGTAAAGTGCTTAGAGTTCTACGGATGAAAAGCGCTATGTCAGAGCTAGGTCGTATTATTACGGCTGCAAGGGAACAGCACTCTGGGAATAAACCAGTCCAATCTGCCCTCTTCTAGGTGCACATACGCCATAGGGCACTTCCCTATACACTCCCCTAGTCACCAGGACAGAGTTTACCATGCAATATTGAGGTACCCCCCCATTTTTTACCTGATGGTGTGAGACAGGGCTAGGATCCCCAAGACAAAGAAATACATGGAGAGCAACAGGTTGATATATTCTTGAGAGAAGATCTGGAAGGCAAAAAGAACGAGATTCGGTTACAATAGCAATTCCCACCTTGCAGGTGACAGAAAAGGCAAGAACCCCTTTACATGTTACGCAGCTGTGATGTAACTAGCAGGTTACTTGCCATTGCTTTCTGGTCACAGTTGTGACAAGTGACTAAGAATGACTAAGGGAACTCAACATATTTACTATATTTCATACCAGCAGGGTTAAAATAAAAAAGGAATAAAATAAATGACTAGTCCCCCAATCACATAATAAGGGCTATGTGGGATAGGTGGCCGCCTCCGGGGTCTATGCTACCACTGGCAACAGCGAGCCATTCAGAATGGTTTAAAAAAAAAATTTGCAGGAAAGGGCACTCATTTTTTCCAAACAATTCTCATTTGGGGAAAAATTCAGCACGTGATTGGAGCACGAAATTGTTTGTTCAATTCATGCAACAGCCTGAAAATAAAAAATGACCAAGAGGTTGACCTAGTCCTGCCGCAATCTGAGGGACTGGACAAGATAACCTCCTGAGGTCTCTTCCAGCCCTACATTTCTAGGAAAACTGAATTAAGGTGGCATTCCCACTACCCTTCAGTTCCAAAGGCATCCTACACTCATACTCCGCCCTAGTTTATCTGAGGATATTATGAGAACGCCTACTTCTCTGAAATGCAAGTGTAGCCTTATAGCCTGCATTCAATTTCTCTCTCTGAGAGAGAGAGAGAGAGAGAGAGAGACACACACACACGTAACCGAGCTAAATGTGCCAAGAAGCACTTAAGGCAGCCTTTGAGCTTTTCTTGTACTCTCCTAAAATAGAGAGAAATGAAGATACAGATGCCCATTGCAGAGTAACATCACGGTAACAATCTAAACCTGTCCAAGTGAAGGCTCAGGTACCAACATTAACTTGTCCACATTGCACACATTTAGCACTTTCCCTTGAGACACTTCACAGCCAGACCTGGCATGACCAAAAGATAAGGGCTGGTAAAGGTACCCGAGGAGTCCTGCTAGGATCCGGACACTGCAGGAGATTGGATCTCTTAGGGGGAACACCTTCTCTGACCACAGGCAAGAAGGAACTGACCAGAACGTTTGGTGGGCAGTATTTGTAACCATGGTGGGGAGATGCCATAAATAGTAGGGATCCTGGCTTCTGGTCTCCCCTATTCCAGAAGCAAGAACCCTATCCAGATGGTATTTTTAGAGAAGTATTCCCCCTGCCCCAAAGCTCACAAAGCTCAGATATGCCTGAACCAATTTCATTCAAGTATTCTAAAAATAAATTCCCCCTGGGCTAAAGGCCAAGAACGGAAGATTACAGCCCAGAGAAGTATGAGAAAGTTGTAAGTGACAAAGGATTAGAATAGCAGTTGAAACGAATCCTTAACTAAGGCCTCCTCCATCAAAGAAAGGCTGTACCACTTTAACTAAGCTGATTTTAAATTGTAAACGAGTTAGGCCTGCACATCCCCCTATGTAGACACACTTAAGCCAGTTTAAGCTTCAGTTTAAATTGGTAATTTGCTACCTTAAGCACAGCTACATAGGGGATTCATACGGGTTTAATTACATAATTTAAAGTCAACTTTAGTACAGGTTTCAGAGTGGTAGCCATGTTAGTCTGCATCAGCAAAAACAACAAGAAATCCTTGTGGCACTTTAGAGATTAACACATTTATTTGGGCATAAGCTTTCCTGGGCTAAAACCCACTTCATCAGATGCATGGAGTGGAACGTACAATAAGGAGGTATAAATACACAGCATATGAAAAGATGGGAGTTGCCTTACCAAGTCAGGGTTGCACTGACCCTACTCACTACTGTATGTTCCACTCCATGCATCTGATGAAGTGGGTTTTAGCCCACGAAAGCTTATGCCCAAATAAATGTGTTAGTCTCTAAAGTGCCACAAGGACTCCTCGTAACTTTAGTACAAACATTCTCACATAGATGAAGCCCAGGTCAATTCAGTTACATCAGTGCCACTATTCTCATATACAAGGCCTAAAGCCCTTACTGCCATGACCTTTAGCTACAGTTCTGGCATTTTCATGTAACCTGGGATGTGGGCATGGGCGCCAGGTTTGTATAATTTTTGGTGGTGCCCAGAATGGGTCCAGCAGGGCCGTCCAGTCCATAGGACGGACCGGGGCAACCGCGGGAAGAGGTGGGGCGAGGGCTTGGGGGAAGGGGTGGAGCATGGGTGGGGTGGAGCAGGGGCAGGAAGAGGCGGAGGAGAGGGCAGGCTGGGGCCGGGTTACTTGCTACTGACAGCGCCAGGCCCCCCGCTAATCCCCCAGGCCACCCTGGCCCCTATGTCCAACTGAAGCTTGGCGCCTGGGGCGGTTGCCTCGTTCCATCCTATGGACAAGATGGCTCTGAAAATATCAGCCCAAACGTTGGTGGAGCCGGGCCCACCTTCCTGAATACTGGTGGAGCACGGACACCACGGGCCCATATAACTCGCCGCCTATGGATGTGGGTGTAGTAGTTCTCTGAGGCTTCCCCTATGAAACATGTGGGAGATTGTCTGTAAGTAAAAATAATGTCACCTTTTAGCTTCTCAGCTAGCTGGATAGCTGGCATTGATAAATGCCTAAGGCTTGTTACAGCTGGAAGGAATAGGAAACAATGTGGGAAGAAGCTACAGTTCATATACCTTCATTCTCCTCTGCTTTCAGTCAGGTCACTGAGTTACCACTTACTACATCTCAGACTTCAGAGACAGCACCACAGCATGTCAGGGAAGGCCACATGTGCTTAGTAGTCTGAGAATCGACTCAAAATTTCCATTGGTTCTTTGGCCTTATTTTATAAGCAATTACTTGTACACAGACTCAGACTTGCCATAAAAGTCAGATAATTCAGAATACAGGCTGTGACTCCGTCCCTCATCTCTCTCACTGCCTAGCAATGTTGCAAGGACCTCTAAAACCCGTGCAATTTCAACATAGTGCGCACCCAGAGATCACAATACAGCAAGCCAAAAAGAGCCTTTCAGACTCCTCTTTGAGATGTCTGCACTGCAGGCTGTGATCAGTCTTGAGGTGATTTAAACATGAATGCAGTAAGGTAGAGAGGTTAAAACAAACAACGAGCAAAGAAGGGAGTTTCCACATTTCTATGGCCCCCAACAACATAGGATCTAAGTGGCTTACTTACTTTAAAGAAGAGGTAGAGTCCGAAGAGGGTGCAACTGGCGACAATGGGAAAGCGAGCAGCGTCCCGACTGGTAATCGTCTCTGGCATATCTGAGGCATTCTAGAGAGGGAAGAAGAGCACATGTGTAGATTAACCTGCTCTCTGTATCAACACATTGAGGAGAAGAGGTCCAGAAGCACCAGCGGAGCTATCAGCTTGCTGGACTCTGCAGAACTAATCAACACTGGGCTCACACGGACGCAGGTTGCTTGCTGGTTTCCAGTCAACCCTGCTGAGCCTTTATTAAAAGCAGAAACTGATACCTGCCCACCTTTGTCCTAGCAGGAATTGCCAGAGTTTACTACTTTTTTCCTTGGGGAGAAATCAGCTGACCTCCCTCCCCATTTCTCTCTTCCTACTCCACCAGCCCAGCAGAGTAGTGTTGGACACTGCTGGCTCTGCAGCGCCCTCTGTGCTATTCTTGCATCAGAACTGTTTCAACATTATTCATATTCTTGGCTTCATTTAGCTTCCCCATCTGTGTGTACCATAGGTTTATTACCCATTGAATGACAGTTCTGTCCAGCCACGTATTTACTCATCCCATTCTTAGGATGCGCCCTTGTATTGAGCCCCTTATTAGTGTGAAAGATGTATCAATTTTGTAGATTCCTTTAAATAATTTTGGAAGCGTCTGTTAGGTAACTTGAAGTCTCTTGTTTTGACCCAACAAAGTCTGTTTCTCTCAATGTAGGTCCTCAGTTCCTGATATGACCTTTTGTTCTCCTACACTGCATCCTCTCCATGACATCAATAGCCTGGCTGTGGTACCGAGACCACACGGCAGAGCATAATGGCAAGGAGTCTACTTGGAATGCTGAAAGCAGCGTCACTCAGTGATGGTTACCAAACAGCTGACTACACTCGACACTTGGCATTAGCTGTTTGGCTAATCAAGACACAGAAACTTTCACCACACACTTGCAATCCCGCCTGAGCAGTATGCGCCCTACTGCTGCAACTTATGCAAAACAACCATATGAAAGTAGCGACGACTCATATAGAGCATACAGCTGGCTGCTACACAGCATTCCCCAGCTCAAGACAGTATCTAAGTACCCAAAGAATTGCTCATTCTCTGCAGCAAGGTCTGTTAACTCCGCAGCTTTATTTCCATCTAGTGCATACTGAACAACGCGGCTATAATAAACTCCCAAAGCTAGGCATTAGAGAAGAAAATGTGATATGACTGGGAAAACCAAGATGAGCTATCATTACTAGACAGCCCCCAAGAAGGGGACAGGATAATGCGCAGAATCATACAAATGCAGGGTTGGAACGGACCTTGGGAGGTTAATCTAATGCAGTCTTCTGCAATGAGGCAGGACCAAGTATACCTAGACACTCTGAAAGGTGTTTGTTTAACCTAAAGCTGGGAGCAGAATTCTCTCAGACAGGGAAGGCATCTCCGTGGAGGATAGTGAGAGGAAGCAGGAGTTTTTCCAGGGAGAAGGCCAGAGGGATAGAAACAGAACCCAGGCTCGGCTCTCTCTGGTGGATGCATTACTCAAAAAGGGATGATGGTGCTTAGAAGCTTTCCAAGGATATATGAACTTCTCCTGAGCCAGTAGGGCACTATCCAGGGGGCAATAACCAAGAAGACAGAGGTACCTATGGGTTACCTCTCTCCAGAAGGGGAAAATGAAGGCAGTACTAGGGAATGAAAGCAAAACCCTATGGGTCACAGATAGAGATGAGGGACCAGTAGCTACAGAGCATCTCTTGCCAGGAACAGAGCGGTAATACCTGGGGGTATGAAAACGCCGTGGCCCCCATGTGTGACATATGGCTCCCAGTCCTTGGAGGAGGTTCAGTCCAAGGGAATGCTCAGGACTCTTCGAGGGGAAATCGCTGAGATCAGAGCCAGACGCTCAGGACACCTCGGTGTCTCAGGGGAGCAGTGGGGGACCACAGCAAAAGGCAGACCTGTCACTGGGGGTCAACCGGAGCAGCAACAGGGGGAATCACGGCCCCTCAGCGTGGGAGGTCCCCGGGGATGCTCCAGAGCACGAGTCCCTCCAAGGGGCCCGGTCGAGCGGGGGGTGGTGGTCCGGTCCCGGGGGGTCCGGTCGGAGGGGGGGTCCGGTCCGGGGGGGTCCGAGTCCCGGAGGGGGGTCGAGCGGGGGTGGGGTCCGGTCCGGGGGGGCGGTCGAACGGGGGTGGGGTCCGGTCC